TAAACTGAAGCAGTGGGTTTTGAAAAACACCTCTTCAGTTTAGGGCTGATTAAACCCCTGTGTCATGCAAGCACCCTGCTAACTTACCTGCTTCTCCAGCAGCAGGGAGGGGAGAGTGAGCTGCCAGCAGGTGGACTGGTTCCTGGGCTGCAGGGGGGCTGGTGCTTCTCTCTGTGGCAGTGGTGGGCCCCCTCCCCTCACGTGCCACCCACCTGCTGGCACCCAGCTCGGGTAGTCCTGAGGGGCACTGCAGCTGAGGAGAGAAGCACTGGGCCCCCCGCACAGCTCAGGCAGGCAGGCAGGCTGCAGGGGGGAAAAAAATATCAGACTTCCTGCTTTTCTTGGGTGGAGCCTGTTTTCCTGGGCTGTTGCCAGGCTGTGTGCAGGGCTTTCTGCAGAGCCACAGAGCTGCATGGAGCCCAGTGCTTGGCTCCACAGCTGTAGGCACAGCAAACTAAAACTCCTCAGAGGAGTTTTAGTTTGCTGTGTCCCAAGTCATTTAAGGTGCATTATATCCCCAAATTTCCTACAGTGGCTGGAATTCATGCGCAATACACTGCTGAGGCATGCAAACACTGACACCATTAAAGCAATGCAAAAGTATTTAGCCCTCTTTAAAGTGTCGTGCACACAAACCCCTCATTTCATCTACACATGGCCTATGTTACACACAAACTAAGCAGCAACACAAGTACATATATGTGCTCATTATGGATGCACAGATATTTGTAAGTCATGAAAATGTAGCCAGGAAAAAATCTATGACTAATGAATGTGATTCTTTTTGTGTTCTAGCCCTAGCTGAATAGATAAGGCTATTCAGTAAGGGATTGAAGGGGGATGAAACAAGTTTCTCTCTTCCAATCATATTGCACAGATTAGGGTTCATTAGGGCTGTGCAAAGCTTCAGATCGCGATTCAGATTTGGAGATGATTCAGACAATTTAGAAGCTGAATCTATGAATCCAAACCAAATCACTAGAAGCTTTAGGTTTCCCAAATCGATTCGGAGCTTCCAAAACAATTCGGAAAAGATTTGACAATTTGGAGATTCGGCCATAGGGTATAATGGGGAATCAATGAAATATCTATAACTTTGTTGATTTTTGGTGGATTCAGATGAAACTTGCTGAAATGGTAGCCACTGCTAAGGGCATGAAGTCTACCAAGCTTCAAGGTGATACATGCAGAGGTTTCTGGGAAACTGCACCTCAAATCCTAAAAGCAAAACTCATGTCACATGTGTATGTTAAGCTATAGTGGGGTAAAAATGCCAGGGATGATAGGACTTTCTGTGGCCACAAATCCTTCCAAGTTTCAAGGACATAGGAATAGGGGTTTCTGGGAAACTGCACCTCAAGCTGCTGAAAAGCAAAATTCATGTCATGTGTGTATTAAGCCATAGTAGGGTGAAAACTGCAGGGATGGTAGCTCTTGTGGAGGCCACAAAGCCTGCCAAGTTTCAAGGAGATAGGTGGAGAGATTTCTGGGAAACTGCACCTCAAACTGCTGACAAGCAAAAGTCATGACATAGGTGACACTGTGTGTGTTAAGGCATGGGGGGTGAAAACTGCAGGGGCGGTAGCTCCTGCTGTGGCCACAAAGCCTGCCAGCTGTCAAGGAGATAGGTGCAGGGGGAGTCTAGGTTTTGGGGCCCTGCATCTCTGGCAAAACTCGTGACATGGATGCTTGTGGGACTATGTGTGTGTTCAGGTGCACCTTTCCTGGTGCTGGGGCCTCTGCACAACATGGCAGTGTGCCCCCATGAGGCCTCCTCCTCCCCTGCAGCCTTGATTTGTTTCATCACTGCAAATGATGGCAGGTCAAAATACCTTAGCTGGCTTAACACCAATAGCACCACCAGTATCAATGGTAGCCAGATGGAACTGTCACAGAGCCTTTCTTTTTATAAAGGAATTGACAGCAAGAAGTAAATATGTTGTGTTGAATATATGTTACTTATGGTGTGTGATGGCTTATCTTGTGTTTTTATGTTTATATGTTTATTATGAAAAAAACTGAAATAGAAAAAATACATCTTAGGAAGCTTTTGGGTTGAAAAACCCTTTGCACCTGCAGTTGGTGTGTCTCTTGGTCCTTGATGGAAGGAATATGAAAGAAACCAGAGGCTGGCCTGGCATGCAATGCAGGCAAGAAAGCCAGTCAGTGAAAATGGAAATGGAGGAATCATGGGGTGAGGGACAGGCTGGGTGGGATGTAGCAGTGCACGTAAAAGTGCAGAAGTACCTGGGGAATCAGATGTCTGAGTTTCACCTGCCTGTGGCCAGAGATGCAGGGCCCCAGAACATAGACTCCCCCTGCACTTCCCGCCCCCCCCTTCCATGCCTTAACACACACAAAGTGTCCCCTATGTCATGAATTTTGCTTGTCAGCAATTTGAGGTGCAGTTTCCCAGAAACCCCTGCATGTATCTTCTTGAAACTTGGCAGGCTTTGTGGCCTTAGCAAGTGCTACCACCCCAGCAGTTTTCACCCTGCTGTGGCTTAACACACACATATGTGACATGAGTTTTGCTTTCAGGAGTTTATGGTGCAGTTTCCCAGTAATCCCTGGACCTATCACCTTAAAACTTAGCAGACTTCATCCCCTCAGCAGTGGCTACCAGCCCTGCAAGTTTCATCTAAATCAGCAAAAAACAAAAAAGTGATAGATATTTCATTGATTCCCCATTATACCCTATGGCTGAACCTCTGAATTGACCAATCTTTTCCAAATCTTTGCCAAATCAATTCAGAAGAGTGATTTGGGTCTCCAAATCAAATCAGTTGAATCCATAATGGCAGAATCTGAATCAAATAGTTGCCTAGTCGCACAGGCCTAAGGTTTATACAACATCCTCTCCAGTAGTCCATTAGAATCTGGCTTCCTGGTGGAAGATGAGAAGCCACGAACTTATTACAAACTGTTAAGATGTCAGTCAGCAAATTTGAACTTCTAAAATATAAACCATTGCTCATTTACTACTCCAAATAGTCTCACATAGAACAGCCATATTTCACCAAAAGAATCTTATTTTCATTAGTGGGACTTTTTACACAGATAACTGTATCAGTATCTTAGTCCACACATAAGTTTGTGTTTATATTCACAGTTTTGTAGTGGACATAGATTTTTGTCCTTGTTTATATGCATTGTTTTGAGATTTGTGATCAATGTTATGTTTAAGTAAGCATACTGGATCAATAACTAAGAATGAACTCATGCCAGGCTAGAGATAAAATGTTTTGCACAGTATAAGTAAATGTTGAGCACTTATTTTGTAAAAATAATGATTTTAAAGTTGTTTTTTTTTCCCCCTTGATCTGAATATGTGGCTTGGGAAGGGGCACAAGTTTTATTCTGTCCAGTTTGAGGGAAGGCATCAAGATAAGACTTTAAACCTCCTTGGTATCTTCTTGTATTCTTGAGTTTAGTCAATGTAAATAGATATACTATTATCTTGTAATGTCTGTACATATTTGTTGGTCAAGACATAGTTATGAGATAATTTTTTATACAAGTAATTCTGTATTCATGACAGATTATTTTGGATGGGGTTAATTCCTAGGGATGCACGAAACTTCGGTCAACAATTCAATTCAGAGATGATTTGGCCCAATTTGGAGGCCAAATCACCATATCCAAATCAAATTGGGAGACAAAAAACCATCTGAATCAACTCAGAACCTCTGAATTGATTCAGAAAAAATTCAGAAAAAGATTTGGAGATTCAGCAATTTGGAAGGCAGTCTTGCAGGGGAACAGATACTAAGAAGAGGGAGAGAGATTGGCGGGGAAAGACTAACATTGGTAGCTGACCAGTTATGGTGATGTTTCTCTGAGTCCCCTTCTAATCACAGTGCTCTGGGGGAAGGGCGTAGAAATAACATATAAGCCTCTGTCTGAAGCATATCTGTCCCTTTTGTGAGCTGTTACTGCCTGAGCAAAAGAGGGGCAGTGGCTGGCCTAAAAACAGGAGGGCAGGTGGAAATCTAACCAACACTGGGAAGGCCCCCTGTTAGAGGCTACCATCCCTGCTGGTTTCCTCCCTCTCTGTCATAACACACACACAAAGTCACACATGTCATGAGTTTTGCTTTCAGAAGCTTGAGGTGCAGTTTTCCAGAAACCCCTGCACCTATCTCTTTGAAACCTTTGAAGGGCAGGCTTTATGGACTCAGAAGGGGCTGCCATGCCTGCTGTTTTCGTCCCACTGTACTTAAACACATACACAAAGTCATGCATGTCATGAGTTTTGTTTTGAACAATTTGAGGTGCAGTTTCCCAGAAACCCATGCACCTATTTCCTCGAAACTTGGCAGGCTTTGTGCCTTCAAAAGGGGCTACCATCCTTGCTGTTTTAATCCAAATCTGCCAAAAATGACGAAGTTGTAGGTATTTCAGTGATTCCCGATTATAGTCCATGGCCGAATCACTGAACCTCTCCAAATCTCTCCAAATCATCTTCCAAAGCTTATTTAGCCAAATCAACTTGGGACAGTGATCTGAATCTCTTATTTGAATCACTGTCCTCCAAATAGGATGAATCCAAATTTGAATTGAATACTTCCTTATTCGCACAGGACTACTAATTTCAATAGTGCCTCATTGTATACTTCATCTAAGGCAAAAACTAGTAACTGACATATTCTCAAAGTGATCTGTTGGAAATATTCCCACTAGGGCTTCCACGAAAGTTATTTTTCTGTGCTAGTGATGAAACATGGGTGTTAATGGTAAACAGAGAGAGTTGGGGATTAGAAGACTTTATCTGTTGCTTTCCCATGTAAATAAAAGGATTTATTCATATAACCACAACAGTGAAAGAAAACATCACTCCCTAGCAAACAAATATATACATAAGGCAACAGTCCAACTTTCTTTATACTACCATCATGAGATTTATGGCTGGTTTGAATTGTGGTTGGCTTGAAGAATCATTTACTTCATTTTACAATTAACTGTTGCTCATCATTTTTTTTTCTTTCTTTTTGTTTCAGTAAGTCAAGGTGGGGATGCAGTTGCATCTGACATGTGTCCTGATCCTGGAATTCCTGAGAATGGAAAAAGGGCAGGCTCTGATTTCAGGTAGGAACTGTGTGTACGCATGCATGCATGCATGCGTGTGTGTGTGTGTGTGTGTGTGTGCATCTATAAATAGATAGATCCACCTCGATCGATCAATCAATCTATCTATCTAGATCTAGACTTAGTAGAAAGGTCCAGCAAGTGTGGTGCTGACCTACAGATAATAGATTTTGAATAAAAGTTATAAGCAACTCTATTTTGAATGCTGTAAAACAGTTTCAATTCTTGTAGATTCAGACGTGAAGTTTTAGGCTATACGGAATATGCTGCTTGACATTGGAGATTTTAACACAGGTTATTCAAAATATACCAGATAATTTTCACTGAGCACTGTGTGTTATAATACATAAAATGAGGTGGAGAATGTCCTTCAGGTTCTAATTACTATTAAACTATGAGGACACAATCTTTCAGTCCACTGCTGAGAAATTCTTTAATTTAATTTAATTAAAAGTAGTGAAGTTGATAGACCAAAGTAAGGAAAGAACCCTTAAACACAGGGAAAAACAATATACTCTGTACTTAAGATTAAAAACAAATCACATTTTTTGCAGGGACCCGGTGCTTCCCTCCATGGCTGTGGCGCCCCCTGGGACTACCCAAGCCAGGTGCCTGTGGGTGGGTGCTGCCTGGGGTGGTGCTGTTGCCACAGAGGAAAACACCAGCCCCTGCTCCCGCACCTCAGCCCAGGGACTGCTCTGCCTGCTGGCAGCTTGTCCTCCCCTCCCCTCCCCTGCCGGAGAGGCAGGTAAGTCAGTGGGATGTGTGCATGGCACAGAGGTTTTATCAGCCCAAAATTGAAGTGGTATTTTTTTAAACCCACCACTTCAATTTAGGGCCCCTGTTTCATCTACACATGCCCTAAAAGGAGCAACCTTAAAGGTTGCCTGGGGGAAGGGAAGAGGAGCAGTGATTCATGACATCTGTTGAGGCACTCTGAGGCAGCAGAGTTCAACATGAGAGTCCTCACAGAGTCACTTCTCAGGAAAGAGAAATTCATCCAAGAATGCTGGAGAGCTTGGTCAAACACTATCTCCCTGTGTGTATCATGCTACCACATGATACAAGTGAACGGCAAATTAGTACATTAATCAAGAAATAAATTTAACATCTGCCAGGGGACTTATAATTTCCTGTTTTTTAATGAAAGTGTCTGTTAACTGTTCCTTTGGATGCTGAACCTTTATTTGGAAGTTAGTTAGGGACACAGACTGAGAGAAACATGTATTTCCTTGCAAACCAATTAGGAAGGGACAAGGTCTGAACTAATACTTCTTTTACGTATGGAGGGAATCAATAACAGAGAAAAGTCAGGGAATAAAGGATTGTGTTGACAGTCTTGACATTATTTCAAATAAGTTGAAATCAGCATTTTCCAAAGAATAAATAATATTCCCTCTAATTGAACTATTCATAAAACTCATATTACCACTGTAACCAGTACAAAGTTCTTAGCCAGCCATGCAATCACTCTGAGTGGTCTACTACTAACATATGATATAAGTAATAAGCTAGAGTCTGGTACATGACAAATACAGTGATAGATGCTTCTTGAAATATATCCGTTGTTTTAAAAAAAAGTGTTGAAGAATGTTGGAAAAACAAAGATTTTGTTACAAATCAGTGTTGAAATATCGACTTACTCATACATCTAAGCCTCAAGACCTCCCAAATCATCTTCTGTCAGTCAAATTGAATGTCAGTCATATCGCATTACCCTTTATTTACAATAAATATGTTGACAGTATGCTCTGGAAGTGACTGTTGGGTTCCTCACTTTTTTCGTCATTTAAAATATAATGACACCTATACACGTGCCCAATGCCTGCTCCTGTGCATGCTACTTAATCAAGTCTGCTGGAGCATGCTTGTGCTAATGAGTACATTCCAGCAGCCTCAGCATAATGTATATTCAGCATATCTGTGTTTCAAAATAGTGTTGGGGGGCATTTTAACTAAAGCTCATTGAATGAGTTTAGTTAAAGCACCCCTGCCACCATTCTGAAGCATGGGATGCTGAATACACAAGATGCTGCAAGCACTTTAATTAGAGTGGCTCCTGAGAGTATTTGTAAAGATGCCCTAAAGGCATCTTTCACCACTCCAGAGCATTTGTAAAGATGCTCCAAATTATCTTCTGTTGTTGTTGTTCTAAATGATCTTTGTCTTAAATTATCTTCTTTTTTTTTCATTTCACATAATTTACTCTTTTGGTTGAGCCATAAATATTCATATATCCAAATGCCATAAACATGTATTACAGTTAGAATGCACCTACTACCTTAACATGTACCATTATGTTTTACATAAAATATGCAAAGTGAATTGGTTCTCGTTTTTAAGAAATGTAACTAGCTAAATAAGTTAAATAGATTAATTCAATGCAAGCACTTTTACCAAAAGCATTTTCACAATGGATTTATTCCATCTCAAGCCATAGTATTTTAGATTGCATTTTAATAACAGAGGTAAGGTCTAGCCCAACAGAGTTGCACCAGTGTAAGTAGAAGGGCTGATCTGAAGTAAATAGGGTGAGCTAAAAAAATTGATAGTCGATCATTCATATGCCTGCTTCTCCTGTGTGTCAAAAGGTGCCAGAAGGGAAGTGTGATTTCAGGAGCAATTTGACGAAAGAGAGAAGTAGCTTTTGTCCCACAAAATAGGTGAGCAAGTGAGAAGGATGAATAGTGTACACTAATGGGCTTTCTTATTTTAAAAGGGAAAATCTGAGACTTTGTGTTTCACTCCTACAACTCTGCCAGGCTTTCTTTTTCTTTCTCCAAGCACTGTTTCCTGTTAAGGATTATGGATGATATCTTTCAAGAGACTTCTCTTGCAAAAAAAAAAACGTTATTGTAATGGGCTAGGGACAGAAGTTACACATAAACCGGTTTAAGTGATCAGAAAGTGGTTTAAACCTGTAACAAAACAGAAGTTCAGTGCACACAAAACCAGTTTCAATATGGCCAGAACTGGTTTAAGATAAACCTGGTTGAATGTAGGCTTAAGTGACTGAGGTCAAACCAGTTTGACTAGTTTGAGTAGACTTGACTGATTAAGATTAAACCAGTTTATGGAACGTCTGTCCCAGACCCCTTCCTGGTTTAAGTTAAATCAGAGTCCCTAAGCATCCCAACATGCTTTGCAGCCTTGGACAGTTCTGTGCTGTCTACTCCAGAGAGCAGGGCTGGCCCTGCTCATCTGCTCCCTAGCTGGAGCAGTGAGGGCTGGCCCACTGCCCCCTGCCAGGCAAACCCTGGCTAGGGGCTGGGGCCATGGAGAGGGGTTAAATTCCCCTTTCCCCAAGTACAGAGCAGTCCTGCCCTGATGACTTACTTACTGCTGGCTGTGACTGTGGACTATATATCCCAGAGGGACCTAGAAGCAGGAAGAGGAAGTGATGAGCAACTTTGCAGAGTCCTGCTGCTATGTTTGTGGACTGCAAATCCCAGGGACCTTGGGGGCATCAGGAAGAGGGCGCAGACACACAACGCATGTTGGCTATGTGCCAGAGAACCATGCTTTAGTGCCCCCTGGCTTCTGGCTTGAGCCATTACAAGGAAGTGGCTGCATTTCTTGACTCAAAAGTGAATGTGTGTTCATTTGCTTATTGGTTCAGTCTTAGACTAAACTGTAAAGACTGAATCAATTCAGCCTCAGGCTTTTTGACTGTCTGTACTTATCCATGAGGACTGTGACTCAAAGGCTTTTCAAATAGTGCAATCTTGGTATCTGTTCCAGTCTCATAGGGAGGAAATTTCCAACAGGTGGAGCCCCATTTGAAGAAGCATGTTCTTTGCCTTCAGTGGAGTTTTCCCAATATATGTAATTCAAAATGCACAAACAACATTGGAAAAAAGGCCTTATTCCTTTTCCTCCCCACAACTAGGGCAGCATCCATCTCTGTGAGTTGCAGAATCAGTCTCCTTTCCTATTTCCTTCTTTTTTTCAGGATGTTTTTTCCGCTTAGCTGCCAGGTAGCCTAGCCTCAATAGGAAAGTGTTTGCAGTCCTGGTTGACCTGTGGTGTGGTGATTAGGTTGCTGTCCCATAAAGTGGGATATTAATGTTCATCTCACCTCAGGAAGAGCCTGGGTCTATTATGTCCCTTGGCCTCCACAGGTACTTTAACCATAGACTGAACAGAAGGTGAGATGGACATTAACACACTCAACACACACCAGTGTCAAACAATGACTAATCATTGCTTTTGCAGATTATAATTTTGCAGATTTTGTGTAATCATAACAAAGTAAATGGATTTAGGTGCCTTGAGAGTATGGCTAAATCTCTTCCCAACATGTACAATAAGTAAAGTTTAGGACAGAACTGTAGTCTTTGGGCCGTTATGTGTCTTTGCATGCATTACTGAGGCTTCTGGGCTGATCTTTTTCTAGATCATTCTGGCTGGATATTTATTGCAGCCTCAGCCTAGGGTTAAAGACTGGGGAGAGGAGATAGAGTGGTGGTAGTCTTCAATAAAAGTATGGTGAACAGAAGGTATCCATTATCAGGCTGTGCAACATGGACTGTGTCTATTCCATGCTTTAGGCCAAGGATGAATTGAAAATGCTATTCATGGACTGATCACCATGCTTCACAATAGGTTCCCAGACTGAATTAACCAAGCTGGTCTTCAAGGTGGTGTTGACACCCAGAATTATTGTCTTGGGGAGAATTAGGTTTACATCCTGGGATGTCTGGTGAGAAAGCTATGACCCTTCTTTCAGATTCATATCTGGCCACCATCATCCATACCTTTGTAACTTCAAGACTAGAATATTACAATGTGCCCCAAGTGACCTGCCCTTGAAGACTGTCCAAAACCTGCAGCTGATGCAGAACACATTGTTCTACCTTCTGACAGTGATGGGTTACCAGGAATACATATGCTGCGTGTTCCAGAGTCTTCACTGAGTCCAAATAGCTTTTCAGGTAAACTTCAAGATGCTGGTTTTTACTTTTTAAACCCTATACAATCTGGGCCCTATGTATCAAAGG